ATGATCTCCAGGCAGCTGGGACCACAGTCCCCAAGAAAACAATTGGTAACACACTACGCCGACAAGGATTGAAATCCTGCAGTGCCCACAAGGTTTCCTCTGCTCAGGAAAGCACATGTCCAGGCCCACCTGAAGTTTGCCACTGAACATTTGAATGATGCAGAGGACGACTGATTGAAAGTGTTGTGGTCAGATGAGACCAAAATCGATCTCTTTGGCATCAGCGCAACCCTCCGTGTTTGGAGGAGAAGGAATGCTGCCTATGACCCCAAGAACACCATCCCAACTGTCAGACATGGTGGTGGAAACATTCTGCTTTGGGGGTGTTTTTCTGCTAAGGGGACAGGACAACTGCACTTCATCAAAGGGACGATGGACGGGGCAATGTACCTTCAAATCTTGGGTGAGAGCCTTCTTCCCTCAGCCAGGGCATTGAAAATGGGTCGTGGATGGGTGTTCCAGCATGACCATGACCCAAAACACACGGCCAAGGCAACAAAGGAGCGGCTCAAGAAGAAGCACATTAAGGTCCTGGAGTGGCCTAGCCAGTCTCCAGACCTTAATCCGATTGAATATCTGTGGAGGGAGCTGAAAGTTCGAGTTGCCAAACATCAGCCACCAAACCTTAATGACTTGCAGAGGATCTGCCAAGAGGAGTGGGCCAAAAAATGCCCTGGCCAACCTGAGATGGGTGTCCAGGAGGAATCAAAGTTTTCCGAGTGTTTTTGGTGGATAACACCAATCCTGATTTACCTGGATTGAAAAACGTGGAGTGACCTCTGAAAAGCACTTTATTTTGGCTAGCAAGGGATTTGCCACCAAGTACCAAGACATGTTTTAGCAAGGGATTTGAAGGGGATCAAATACTTATTCCCTCATGAACATGCAAATCAGTCATCATTTGTTAGACATGCATTTGTTTTGAATTTTTTGTTGCTGTTCTGTCTCAGTGTTACAATACACCGAACATTCGATTTTTGGACTGATCATTTCTTTGTGAGTGGCAAACATTCAAAATCAGCAGGGGATCAAATACTTATTTCCTTTACTGTAGTAAAGCCTCAAAATCACTAGATAGCAGAAGAATCCTAACCCCAGCACCCCCCACCCCCCAACTGAGCCTGAAATGTGTGTCTGGATTGCAAAAAAAAACAAAATTGATGGGAATTAGGTAAATTAGGTAAATTGTATCAAGTCTTCAATCCAGCAAATTGCAGCAAAGTCCCATTATGCACAACATCACTTGGAAAGGTCGTTTTTAATAGCATTCTATTACAATAAAAGTAAGCATAGCAGTTGTATATGCTATATATTTTTACCATGTATGTGGAGTTACCTTTTCAGGCATTAACAAGTGATTACTTTTACTTTTATTATGCCCAGAGTGTAGCTTTTTAAGCCCTTCTGAAAAAATGTTCCTATCTTAAAGCGCTGCACAAACTGTTGGCTATATAAATCGTTAATTCTTTCAGTTCACTGAACAGACAATGGACTGATATAAATAACGGATTGCTCTCCCACCTAATCAATGCTTCTGAACAACTCCCTCCCAGAAAAATACACTGAAGAAGTATGAATTGGGTTATGGCAGGAGCTCACTTGGGATTACCAAAACAAATCCCATCGTTTTCACAATACCTGGCCTTGCTTTAAAACCATTGATAAGATTACATCACTCCTAAGTACGTATCTGTTGTCTCTGATACTGTGCAACGTATGCTTCATAATCAACCAACTTACACCATACCAGATGGTAATGTGTAGCCTGATTTATGATTGGCGTTGTTTGCTCTTACCATGAAGCTTACTTTTTTTTACTATTATTATTATACAGTATTTATAAAGCGCCAATAGTTCGCTCAGCGCTGTACATTACAAAGGGGGACAGAACATGTGACAGAACAATACCAATACAATGCAAAACATGAGGGGATTGAGGGCCCTGCTCCTCGGAGCTTACAATCTAGGAGGGAGGGGATGGTGGCACAGGAGGAGATAGCTGTGGGGGATGGAGTGGTAGGAAGAGTGGAGGAGGTCGGCAAGTTAGCAGGGGGTGGGGTAGGCTTCCCTGAAGAGGTGGGTTTTCAGGGTGCGCCTAGAGGAGAGTAGGTGATAATCTGATACTATGCTTAATGCTCATTGATATAAGGGGATTGGCTTATAGGACATAAAAAAACTGTATTTTGAGGAGCCCAGGAGGCACAGGTGCAGCATACAACCCGCTGCCAGCACCCCTAGAGTACAAGTTCCACGTGCAGGGCATATTTCCCTGAATGCATGCGTTCCTAAATGCAGTTACACCACATATGTCAGCCTGATTTTGACAGGATGCTGGTATTGGTCTATATCAACTTGAGCACTGGAGGCAGGTACGTAGGTGGACTTCAAGTGCTTAGTGCCGCAGGCATCATCTCCGAACCAATTTTTAGAACTGACAGTTGGCTTTCTTGTACAAGCAATCCCAGTGGCCAACTAGTGTATTTCCACTTTTGTGGCTAAATTCGGGTAATGCCTATTTTTCTAATTGCACAGTGGATATAAAACTTATACACACCCCTGTTAAAATGTCAGGTTTCTGTGATGTAAAGAAATGAGACAAAGATAAATAATTTCAGAACTTTTTCCACCTTTTTATTGTGACCTATAAATTGTACAACTCAATTGAAAAACAAACTGAAATCTTTTAGGGGGGGAAGTAAACATAAAAAAAAAAATAAAATAATGTGGTTGCATAAGTGTGCACACCTCTTATAACTGGGGATGTTGCTCTGTTCAGAATTAAGCAATCACATTCACAATCATGTTAAATAGGAGTCAGTACACACCTGCCATCATTTAAAGTGCCTCTGATTAATCCCAAATAAAGTTCAGCTGTTCTAGTAGGTCTTTCCTGACATTTTCTTAGTTGCATCCTACAGCAAAAGCCATGGTCCACAGAGAGCTTCCAAAACATCAGAGGGATCTCATTGTTAAAAGGTATCAGTCAGGAGAAGGGTACAAAAGAATTTCCAAGGCATTAGATATAACATGGAACACAGTGAAGACAGTCATCATCAAGTGTAGAAAATATGGCGCAACAGTGACATCACCAAAAACTGGACGTCCCTCCAGAATTGATGAAAAGACGAGAAGAAAACTGGTCTGGGAGGCTTCCAAGAGGCCTACAGCAACATTAACCACTTCCTGTCCGGACACTTTTACCCCCTTCCTGTCCAGGCCAATTTTCAGCTTTCGGCGCTCTCACATTGTGAATGACAATTACTCAGGCATACAACACTGTATCTAAATGAAATTATCATTTTTTTTCAAACAAATAGAGCTTTAATTTGGTGGTATTTAATCATCACTGGGGTTTTTATTTTTTGCTAGAAAAATGAAAAAAGACTGAAAATTTTGAAAAAAAACATGTTTTTCTTAGTATTTGATACTAAATTTTGCAAATAAATATACTTTCTTCATAAATTTAGGCCAAAATCCATTGTGCTACATTTTTTTGGTAGACATAACCCAAATCAGTGTGTATTATTTAGTCTTTGTGAAAGTTATAGAGTCCACAGACCACGGTATATATATTTGATATATTTGAAAATGTATCAATCCTGATGCACGGACTACCTATATAATTTCTTGGGGCCCTAAAATGCCAGGACAGTACAAATACCCCCCAAACGACCCCTTTTTGGAAAGTAGACAGTCTGAGGTATTTAATGAGAGGCATGGGGAGTTTTTTGAAGTTGTCATTTTTTGCCAATTTTTTAAGGAAATGATGAAAGTAAAAAAAATTCTTTTTTTTTTTTCCCACAAAGTTGTCATTTAACAAGTTCTTTCTCTCACACGGCATAGGCATACTTGCAATTACACCCCAAAACACATTCTGCTACTCATCCTGAGTATGGCGATACCACATGTGTAAAACTTTTTCACAGCCTAACCACATAGAAGGGCCCCACATCCAATAAGCACCCTTAGGCGTTCTAGGGGCAAAAATTACACATCTAATTTCTTGACTGTCTATCACAGTTTTGGAGGTCCTGGAGCACCAGGACAATTGAATTACCCACAAAATGACCCCATTTTCGAAAGAAAACACCTCAAGGTATGTTTTAAGAGGCATGGGGAGTCCTCTGAAGACTTCATTTTTTGCCACATGTTTTTGGAAAATGTGAAAAGAAAATGAAAATGTATTTTTTTTTTGCGCAAAGTTGTCAATCTATGAGATATTTCTATTACACAGCATAGGCATACTTAAAATGATACCTCAAAACGCATTCTTTAACTCCTGCTGAATATGGCGATACCAAATGTGTGAGACTTTTTCACAGTCTGGCCACATAGAGGGGTTCCACATCCAATAAGCACCTGTTAGCGTTCTAAGGGCAAAAATTACACATCTAATTTCTTGACTACCTATTCCCGTTTTGGAGGTCCTGGAGCATCAGGGCAATGGAATTATCCACAAAATGACCCCATTTTGGAAAGCAAACACCCCAAGGTATGTTTTAAGAGGCATGCAGAGTCTTCTGAAGACTTCATTTTTTGCCACAAGTTTTTGGAAAATGCGAAAAGAAAATGAAAATGTATTTTTTTCTACACAAAGTTGTCAATCTATGAGATATTTCTAATACACTGCATAGGCATACTTAAAATTGCACCCCAAAACACATTCTCTAACTCTTCCTGAATATGGTGATACCAAATGTGTGAGACTTTTTCACAGTCTGGCCACATAGAGGGGTTCCACATCCAATAAGCACCTGTTAGCGTTCTAAGGTCAAAGATCGCACATCTAATTTCTTAACTACCTATTGCTGTTTTGGAGGTCCTGGAGCATCAGGGCAATGGAATTATCCATAAAAAGACCCCATTTTGGAAAGCAAACACCCCAAGGTATGTTTTAAGTTCTCCGTCACTCTCATCTGTCATACTCAGAATTTGAAATGCCTCCTCGCTTGTATATGATCTTTTGGCCATATTTTTGACACTGATCAGGACCCACTGGTATGGCAGTGATCAGGCTGGTGTTGCAGTGAGGGACAGATATCTGGCTGCAGTTGGTTCACACTAGTCACTGTTGGGCAAAAATCAGAGATACAGTGAGGTGGCTGTGGGCCACTGCGATGATCAGGACACTGCTGGGCCACTTGTGTGGCAATCAGAAACACTGCTGGACTACTGCGTGTCAGGGACACTTCGGTGATCAGGGGCACTGCTGGACCACTTATCCGGCGATCAGGGACACTGCTGGGCCACTTGTGTGGTGATCAGGAACACTGCTGGGCCAATGTGGGGATCAGGGACACTGCTGGGCCAATTTTGTGGTGATCAGGGACACTGCTGGGCCACTTGCGGTGGTGATCAGGAACACTGCTGGGCCACTTGTGTGGTGATCAGGAACACTGCTGGGCCAATGCGGTGATCAGGGACACTGCTGGGCCACTTGTGTGGTGGTCAGGGACACTGCTGGGCCACTGCGGCAATCAGGGCCACTGCGGCGATCAGGGACACTGCTGGACCACTTGTGCGGCAATCAGGGACACTGCGGTGATCAGGGACACTGCTGGGCCACTGTGGTGATCAGGGACACTGCTGGACCACTTGTGCGGCAATCGGGGACAATGCTGGGTTACTTGTGCGGCAATCAGGGACACTGCTGGGCCACTTGTGTGGCGATCAGGGACACTGCTGGGCCACTGCGGCAATCAGGGACACTGCGGCAATCAGGGACACTGCTGGACCACTTGTGCGGCAATCAGGGACACTGTGGCGATCAGGAACACTGCTGGGCCACTTGTGCGGCAATCAGGGACACTGCGGTGATCAGGGACACGGCTGGGCCACTGCGGCGATCAGGGACACTGCTGGACCACTTGTGCGGCAATCAGGGACACTGCGGTGATCAGGGACACTGCTGGGCCACTGCGGCAATCAGGGACACTTCTGGGCCACTTGTGTGGCAATCAGGGACACTGCTTGGCCACTGCGGCGATACTGCTGGGCCACTTGTGTGACGATCAGGGACACTGCTTGGCCACTGCGGCGATCAGGGATACTGTGACGATCAGGGACACTGTGGCGATCAGGAACACTGCTGGGCCACTATGTGGTGATCAGGGACACTGACAATCAGGGACACTGCTGGGCCACTTGTTGGGCGATCAGGGCCACTTGTGGGCAATCAGGGCCACTTGTGGGCAATCAGGGCCACTTATGGGCGATCAGGACCACTTGTGGGCGATCAGGGCCACTTGTGGGCGATCAGGGCCACTTGGGGCGATCAATCACTTGGGGCGATCAGGGCTACTTGGGGCAATCAGGGCCACTTGTGGGGGCAATCAGCGACACTTGTTGGCGATCAGGACCACTTGGGGGCGATCAGGGCCACTTGGGGCGATCAGGGCCACTTGGGGCAATCAGGGCCACTTGGGGCAATCAGGGCCACTTTGGGGCGAATCAGGGCCACTTGTGGGGGCGATCAGGGCCACTTGTGGGGGCGATCAGGGCCACTTGTGGGGGGCGATCAGGGCCACTTGTGGGGGCGATCAGGGCCACTTTAGGGGCGATCAGGTGTCACTGAGGTGGAGGGCAGTTAGCTACAACCCTCTTCTTCGCTGTTTCTCCTCTCACAGACAACTCCGTGAGAGGAGAAGGAGGCGGAAGCCGCACCATGCGGCTTTTGTTTACACTTAAGCTGTGTCCTTATTGGACACAGCTGATCACATGGTATGGGACCGATTTCATTGGTCCCATACCATGTCACGTAATCCACCGTGTCCGTCGGACTCTGCGATCATCGGGCTCGCGGGTGCGCGCTCTAGGAGCCGCGCACGAGCCTCACATACAAGGTGCCGTTTAGAGACGGCAACCCGCTCCTGTAGGTGTCCCGTCCTGCCGTTTATAAACAGCGGCCGGACGGGAAGTGGTTAAAGGAGCATCAGGAATATCTGGCAAGTACTGGCTGTGTGGTACATGTGACAACAATCTCCCGTATTCTTCATATGTCTGGGCTATGGGGTAGAGTGGCAAGACGGAAGCCTTTTCTTGTGAAGAAAAACATCCAAGCCCGGCTACATTTTGCAAAAATACATCTGAAGCCTGGTGATGGCAGCATCATGATTTGGGGCTGTTTTTCTTCAGCTGGAATGTGGGCCTTAGTCAAGGTAGAGGGAATTATGAACAGTTCCAAATACCAGTCAATATTGGCACAAAACCTTCAGGCTTTACTAGAAAGCTGAACATGAAGAGGAACTTCATCTTTCATCATGACAATGACCCAAAGCATACATCCAAATCAACAAAGGGAATGGCTTCACCAGAAGAAGATGAAAGTTTTAGAATGGCCCAGCCAGAGCCCAGACCTGAATCCGATGGAAAATCTGTAGGGTGATCTGAAGAGGGCTGTGCACAGGAGATGCCCTCACAAACTGACAGATTTGGAGTGTTTTTGCAAGGAAGAGCGGGCAAATATTGCCAAGTCAAGATGTGTAATACTGACAGACTCATCCCCAAAAAGACTGAATGCTGGAATAAAATGAAAAGGTGCTTCAACAAAGTATTAGTTTAAGGGTGTGCACACTTATGCAACCATATTTTTTTAGTTTATTTTTACTTCCCTCAACCTAAAAGATTTCAGTTTGTTTTTCAACTGAATTGTACAGTTTGTAGGTCACATTAAAGGTGGAAAAAGTTCTGAAATGATTTATCTTTGTCATTTTTTACATCACAGAAACCTGACATTTTAACAGGGGTGTGTAGACTTTTTATATCCACTGTATAATATTCCCATTCACTTAGCATGATTTAAAAAAATATTTACAAAAATTGCTGTTTGCCGTTTTACTTATCCTACCTAGTTTTTTCTTTCTTTGTAACGTTAAAGTAATTCAAAGGCTTTTTTTTTTTTCAAGGAAAAAATAGCAAACATGTCTATGCTTACCTGCTGTCTGCAGTCGTTTTACACAGAGCAGCCTGAATCCTAATCTTCTCAGGTCCCCCACAGGCTCTCCTGACCCCTTCCTCCTGTTGGGTGCCCCCACAGCAAGCAGCTTGCGATGGGGGCACCCACTGCTTCATGTGCCCATTCACACACGGAGCCACTGTTCGGCCCTGCCCCCTCTCTCTTCTCATTGGCTCACTTGCTGTGATTGATAGCAAGGGGAACCAATGGCTCCCACTTCTGTCTCAGCCAATGAGAAAAGGGAGTCTCAGGATAGCCGAGACTCCAGTGCACATCGCTGGATCAAGAGGGGCCTTAGGTGAGTATTGGGGGGGGCTTAGGTGAGTATTGGGGGGGATGCTACACAGAGAAGGTTTTTTAACATCATGCATAGAGTGCATGAAGGGAAAAAACTTTAAGCCTTTAGAACCACTTTCAGGAAGGGACTGGGAAGTTATGTTTACCATACTTAAAGTATAACTAAAGGCAAAACTTTTTGTTTGGCTTTGAACAGATTGGAGTGGAATTAGAACCCCTGTCAGTTTTTAAAGATGTCTGTCTCTCTAATTGTCCTGTTTTACCATTATCACCAAAAGGAAAAAGTAAAAGCAAATCCCAAATTTTGGGTTGTCCCCAGAACAGTAATAGAGAGGAAATCGTCCAGTCGAGACACTAGTTCTGGTGGTCGTGGTTACAACCAGGGTTTCCTTCACTGTGGTGAGAGTTTAGCACACTTCCTGTTTTATCTGTGAGACTGGAAGTAAAGTGAAATCTCCCCAATGGAACCAAAAAATGGTCCATGTATGGCCACCCTGGTTGTACACGCGATCGACTTGTGTACAACCAACATGTCAGTTTTTTTCCTCGAGCAATTAGTGCCACCAGCTATAGCCGGCAGCACTAATTGTGTCCTGCCAGCAGGGAAGGCTTCCTGTGCTGCCCGCCAGCAGGACACAATAGCTCTGTGGGAGAGATTCCCCCATCCACACTGTGGTGATGCAGGAATCGAGTAATTTTTATTTCCTTCCACCCATGGTGGAAGGAAAAATAAATGGCATAATGTATGGCCTGCCCAAGCTATGCTGAATAATACAAGCTTCATATAGAGGCCTGTGTATAAATCTGCTCCAAACAAATCATTAAAAGTTAAGAATTTAAAAAATATTTATTTTTAGGAATGTTTTGTGAATAATAGGACTGCAAAAGTGGAAATACACTTTATTGCTGGGTTCACACTTGTGCAATATATTGCATGTGATTCGCACAGGAACCGCACCGCATTCCTGTGCAAATCACATGCGAACTGTGTGCAGTGCGATTGGAGCCATACATTTTGTATGGCTGTATCCGCACCGCATCCGTACCAAAACGGTGCAGGACCCTTTTTTTTTTATGGTCCACACTAGAATCGGATCACATGGGTATTCACACCTATGCGATCCGATTCTGCACATCGCACCGTGTTTTGCAGACCGATTTTGGGGTGTTAACGTACACACCCGCAACGGTTCGCATGAACTGGGTGCGATTGTGATGTGGAATTCGCACAGAACACGCTGTGAATTTCACACCGCATCAGTGTGAACCTGGGCTCAAACGGAACTCCATTAAATTGTTTCCTTTTCATTTCATCCTTCCACCTGCACATGTTATACTTACCTACTCTGTGTAATGGTTTTGCACAGAGCAGTCCCAATCCTCCTCTTCTTGGGTCCCCTGCTGGTGCTCCTGGCTCCGCCCCCTCACTGAGTGCCCATCGTAGAAAGCAATAGAATGCATGAAGTTAAAAAAAAACTCGTACCTTTAGAACTATTTAAAAATGTGGCCAAGCAGTACTACTTCTCTCCTTGCTTCCTCATCAATACTATAATAGCCAGGATCATTCAACCCAATTTCTGTGAGCCCAAGTCATGTCTGAGAGTGCATCATCATGCATAGCCTGCACTCACAGCACTCAGTCCTGGGGGAAGGACCATTCACTGATGCTGCCAAAAAAGGAGAAAGGATCTCTGACATCACCAGACTGCGGAAATCAAAAGTATGTACAGAATTTTCTAGGGAGAGTTGAAGTCTTAGGGCTCATGTACACTGCAGGTGATAAACTCACGTTTAGGAGCTGTTCAGCGGTTTTTTTTCTTCAGCAGCCCCTGAACTCTCCCTAATGTTTTCCTATGTGTCCATGTACACATCTTCGATTTTATCAGCGTTTTAAACGCAAAACGCTTGTAAACGCGGCAAATTGCGTTTATAAGTGTTTGCGGGTGAAATTGTTTTTTTTTTTACTTTTTCCAGTTCCTGACACTATCCAGAGCCTTTTTTCATCATGAAAAATGCATGCAAAGAGTTTTCAAGGTACTCAGATGGACAAAACACTGAACACAGGATGTTCCTACCAAGCTTGTCACACATTGTAATGACCAATTCACACCTCAGACCTCTCCCACCCTTGGAAACAAAAGATATGTTAATGACCATTCACACCTCAAATTCCTCATGAAGACCCCCTGCCAGGTGACCTTAATGACTCCCTCCACCAGACACCTTTCCACCCTTGGAAACAAAAGAAATGTTAATGAGCAACTCGCACCTAAGCTAATCTCAACACGTACTGCTGTCTCTGCTTCTACTCTCTGTATTTCTGAAATAGTTAATAATTTACCACTTTTCAGTGCATTCTGGGCATT